TTCTCTTTCAGTGCAGGCATGATTATCTCCTCATCACTGAGTCATCAATATAATAACTACTTTCTTAGAAAACATTACTCTTTCACTGCAGTACATTATTGAAGCCAGGCACAGAAAGACAAACATCACATGTTCTCATTCATTTGTGGGGGCTCAAAATTGTAACAGTTGAACTCACGGAGATAGAGAGTAGAATGATGGTTACCAGTGGCTGAGATGGGTAGTCGGGGAGTGGGGGAAGTTGCAGTGGTTAATGGGTACAAAAATGTAGTTAGATCGGATGAATAACGCGTTCCATTTGATAGCCCAACAGGGTGATTAAAGTCAATGATAACTTACAGTACTATCTAAAATAACTAAAGGAGTATAATTGGAATGTTGTAACACAAAGAAATGATAAATGTTTGAACTTACCGATACCCCGTTTACCCTGATGTGATTATTATATCTTGTATGCCTTTGTCAAAATATCTACATACTCCATATATATATATAATGTAAATATATATACCCACTCTCTACTCATGCAAATTAAAAATAAATTTTTAAAAATCATGAATTAACTAAACACTCCAATCAAAATCCACAGATTCAAGAATGGTTTAAAAAAACAATAACTGTCTATAAGCTATCTACAATAACTACATTTTAATATAAATACACAGTAAAAAGGAAATGGAGAAATAAAGGTATACCAGAGGCTGGTTAATGGGGATAAAAATACAGTTAGACAGAAGGAATAAGATTTAGTTTGTGGTAGTACAGTGGGGTGACTTTAGTTAACAATAATGTATTGTATATTTCAAATAGCTAGAAGATACAAATTGGAATGTTCCCAACATAAAGAAAAGATAAATGTTCAAGGTGATGGTTATCCCAATTACCTTTGATCATTAAAGATTGTATGCATGTGTCAAAATATCACACGTACCACCAAAGTATAAACAACTATGATGTATCAATAAAGAAAAAAACTTGAAAAAAATTTAAAAATGTGAGAGTTGTGCAGATTATGATATTATGTAATGTGGACTAAAAAGGGTAACAGTAAATTCAAAAAGTGTTTCATAATGATGAAAACAAGTCAAAATATCAGGAAAACAGTAATCATAAATATTTATGCACCTCATAGAGTTTTCAAATGCTAGAACAATATTTCTGGAATTTAAAGTTGAAATAGAAAATTTCTTACTAATACTAGGAGATTTTATCACCCTTTCTCAACAATTGATAGAACGATTAAACAAATCTTCAGTAAAAACACAGAAGATATACACAACAGAGTCAACCTTCTTACCTATTTTCATAAAATATTATACCTAATAAGTTCAGATTACACATTATTTTAAGTACACTTGATATAATCACCAAGATAAACCATATGCTGAGTGATAAAACAAGTTTTAGTAATTTAGAGGTTTCAGTTTATAAGATTATATTTATTAAAATTGAATTAGAAGAACTGGAAGTATGAGAAGCTATGTTCTAGAACAATGCTAACCAAATTTTCTGTGATGGTGGAAATGTCCTATATCTGCAATGTCCAACATAAAAAGCATAAGTATATTTGGTTATTGAGCACTTGAAATCTGACTAGAGTAATGGAGGAACTAAGTTTTTAAAATTTTGCTCAATGTTAGTTTTTTATATTTTAATGCTACAAGACCAACTACATTACCCCAAAATTCATATGTTGAAGCCCTAACCCCCAATGTGACTTTATTTGGAGATAGGGACTTTAGGAGATAATTAGGCTTACATGAAGTAATAAGGGTGAAACCCTAATCCAATAGGATTAGTAGCCTTCTAAGAAGAGGAAGAGAGAGATTTCCCCTGTGTGCATCAGGGAAAGGCCATGGGAGAACACAGCAAGAGGGTGGCCATCTGCAAGCCAGGAGAGGAGCCTCACCAGAACCAAATCAGCCAAAACTTTGATCTTGGACTTTTAGTCTCCAGAACTATAAGAAAATAAATTTCTACTGTTTAAGACACCCAGTATATAATATATGATGGCAGCCCAAGCAGATGGGTACACTTAATTTTGAAAGCTGCATATGGCTATTGCCCACCATACTGCATAGAGCACTTCATGTGAATGCTATCATTCCAATATATATATGATCTGCTCTTCCATATATATAGCTATTGAGTTGCCTTTACTATAAATATAACTATATATGTCAATATAGTCACTTTTGCTATTATTCCTTCAACTCCTTATGTAATTGATCTCCTGATTTGACAGTTCAGGGTAAATATACACTGTTATTCAATTGGAAAATATCAGCCAATACATTTGCATCAACATTTCAAGTGAAAGCCTTATTTGTACATCAATCAATTTTATGAATTTCTCTAAATTCAAAGAACAAGCACCAAGTACCTATCATAGTTTGGCATACATTTTTCAGGTTTGCAGTTATATTAAGAAAGTGAATTAAATGATAAATGGAAAAGTAATGTCAGAGTTTACTATTCAACATATTTACTTTCTCTTTTGGAGTAGACTTGAGGTCCCATTCACTGTTCGGAATACAAAATACTCTTTGTCCTCAAAAGAAGATGCATTATATTTATTAGACCATGCTCACCACCTTGGTGATGGGATCATTTGTACGCCAAACCTCAGCAATACACGATTCACCCATGTAACAAACCTACACGTGTACCCCTTGAACCTAAACTAAAAGCAGGAAAAATATCATAAGCATAAAAATATATATTTACAACAGAAAATCTCTATACTTGCAGGAAGGTGTTTAAGCTGTTATGGTTATTGGCCTCTTTGAACCAAGGTCCGTTTTCTGTCACTATTGCCTGATGATATATGTGACTATCCCCTGGATTTGTTTACTTATTTGTTGTTCAGCCATATGAGGGATTAGTTCTTCAATTAGTTGATTTTCAAGCTTTTTACTAATCTGTCTTAGTTTGTTGTTGTTGTTGTTTGAGACAGAGTCTCGCTCTGTCACCAGGCTGGAGTGCAGTGGTGTGATCTCTGCTTACTGCAACCTCTGCCTACCAGGTTCAAGCAATTCTCCTGTCTCAGCCTCCCTAGTAGCTGGTACTACAGGTGGGTGACACCACACCCGGCTAATTTTTGTATATTTAGTAGAGACGGGGTTTCACCATGTTGGCCAAGATGGTCTTGATCTCTTGACCTCGTGATCCACCCAACTCGGTCTCCTAAAGTGCTTTGATTACAGGTGTAAGCCACTGTGCCTGGCCAATCTGTCTTGGTTTTATTGTCCCTACTTACACAGGGGTCACTACTAAACTACATCCATTGTGATCAAATTACATTGATGTTTCAACATATCTTTGGATGGATTTCCAAAAGCATAAAATCACAGACACTGACACAAATTCTGAAATAGTGTTTGGTGCCTGGACTGACATTGACATCAGAAATATAACAATCACTTTAAAGAGTTAAACACAGCTACAAATCATGTCTAAATTTTATCAAAATTGGAAACAGAAACAACTAGTGAATTAGAGGAATTCTAGAAGATAAATACATTATCTTTGTCTGAACCTAGAAATTCATTTTGGTGAAGCAGTCATTAGCTTGTTGTTTTACTATGTACAGAATGCCTACTGTTCTAGAAAATATGTCTTTATTTGACAAGGCTTAAAAGATTGAAACTTTAATCTTGATTAACAGTGAAGGCTTCTTTCTCTCTCCTTGTAGGGTTGGCAAAAGCTAGAAACTTGCAGTTAAAGAGGAAAATTCTGGTTGACTTCTGCACTTTACAACTTGCTATTCTACTCTTCCTCTCTCATCTTGCCACCTGCTGTTTTTGACTGCAGAGTTGAAGCACTGAGGAATTAAAGAAAGAAGTTCAGATGTGTACTATCTCTTGTCCAATGACAAGTTCTCTGGCCTTGAAGATTTATAATGTTGACTTTTCTCCTATGGGTTCTTTTTTATCAAGGATCTCTCACCTGCAAGAGTCAACCTCAGTCTGTCCAAGGTTTTCATTCACTTCATCCTCACTCTCGAGCTACCTAGCAACAGTACCTACAGCCTCCTTTTGCTGAGGTTCAGTAATCCCAAGAGCCGTCCTCTTAAACAGATATTGCAGACCATCTGCTAACACTATTACTCTCTTAGGTCATGTCTGATGCATGTAACACATGCATATCCCTTGTTCAACCAACTCTGGAATCACACCTAAAACATTATTTGCAGCTTACCTTTCCTTTGCTGGGCTCTAAGAGCAGCTAAATTTGGTAGTTCATTGTGTCCCCCAAATGCATGTGGTGTATACCAAAGATTCTCTTTCAAATCTTTTCCCTAGGTTCGTGAATGATGGAAATTTCATTACATAAATAGTTCTTTTTAAATACTCTTTGGTGGTGAGGGGCTGAAAGTTGAATAATCTTTATTTTTCTACCTTATTAAATTTTAGTCTCACTTCTCATTTTCAAATGTATTAATAATAGTTAGATATTTACATTTTAGCATCAATTTAACATAAATATTTTAAAATGTTGCAGTGTCCCCATGGCTTAGTCATCAGACTTCTTTGACTCTACGCTATGCTCACTCTTTTTTTTTTTTTTTTTTTTTTTTTTTTTTTTTTTTTTTTTTTTTTGAGATGGAGTCTTGCTCTGTCGCCCAGGCTGGGGTGCAGTGGCCGGATCTCAGCTCACTGCAAGCTCCACCTCCCGGGTTTATGCCATTCTCCTGCCTCAGCCTCCTGAGTAGCTGGGACTACAGGCGCCCGCCACCTCGCCCGGCTAGTTTTTTGTATTTTTTAGTAGAGATGGGGTTTCACCGTGTTAGCCAGGATGGTCTCGATCTCCTGACCTCGTGATCCACCCGTCTCGGCCTCCCAAAGTGCTGGGATTACAGGCTTGAGCCACCGCGCCCGGCCAACGCTCACTCTTTAAATAATCTTATCTAGTCTCATTCATCTGGTCCATCCACATCTTCACCCTGAGCCCTCTTTTGTGTTCCATTCTTTTTTTTTTTGCTTCCTTTCTTTCTTTTATTTTTCTTTGAGGCAGAAACTCTCTCTCCAACTCTCCAACTGCTTTTCAACTTCTCCACCTGGAGATCTAATAGGAGTTTTAAATAAGCAGGAGCTAAACAATGGGTACACATGTATAAGAAGATAAAAATAATAGACACTGGGGACTCCAAAAATGGAAAGGGAAGGAGAGAGGAAGGAAGGGAGGGGAGTGACGGTTGAAAATTACCTATTGAGTACAGTGTTCACTATCGAAGTGATGGGTACATTCGAAGCCAAGTCCCACCATTACAAAATATATCCATGCCACAAATCTGCACATGTAATCCCTGAATCTATAATTAAAAAAAAAAACTCTGAGAAATTTTATGAATAAATAGAATAGCACAGCTACTGACACAGATATAATTTAATTACCCCCAAACCTGTTTGCCTCATGTTTGTCATGCACTCTATTTTTTAATCCAAAAGCCTAGGGGCTATATTTAATATAGAAATGGATTATATGAAGCTCATGCTTCGAATGGATTCTCCTCTCTCTGAGAATAAAATCCAAACTTCTTACAGTATAATCAAAGACAGTACATACTCTGGAATATTTTTCTATTCACCCTGGGATTTCTTCATCTTCTGTCAGCCATTTCTGTCACATTACCATTTCATGTGCTATTTTCTCTACCTGACACTCTCTTCTCTAGATATCTTCATGGTTTCCTTCTTTCTTTATTTCAAGATCCTGATTAACTTTTCTCTTCTGAGGGCCTGTCTAGAGCAAGTTATTTAAAGTAAGATACACCTCATACTGTAGGTCATTTGCTGAATTTTTAATACAATTTTCTGTGTATTATGTTTATTTTTTATCAACTAGAATTTAAAATCTCTGCATGTAGGCACTTTATTGTTTACTATTTGCATCATATGAAACATTTCTATTTCTGATTCATAAGCAATAAATTAACAAACATTTTTTAAGGAATTGATTTTATAAAAGAAAATTTCTAGCATAATTTAAGTTGAAATCATTTCGATAATACATATATTAATTACATTTTTACATATGATTTTCAAGGATTATATCCTATTAAGAAACTATTTGCAGTAGCCATTATAAATTTAAAATATTTTAAAAATACATCATGCAATATTACCTTATCACAATGGTAAATTTGGCTACCTTTTTCTAATTGATTACATTTGCTATTTAAAACATTTATTTTTAATATTTGCCTACTGGGTCAAAATAAAACAAACAAGAACAGATATTTGAAAGTAGAGTTGCCAAAAAGTACATCTGTTTTGGGGTGGGGGGGCACAGATAATTCACTTGTATTTTGATTAGCAAAACCTTTCAAAACTTAATTTTCTTCAAATAATAGAACATATACTTTCAGAGCAAATGTCTCTGATGAAGTAATGAACATGGTATTTCCCAGATGAGTTTCAACAAAACACAGAATACACTTTTTTTTTCAGTCAGTAGATGAAAACACAGTAAAATAAAACTTAAGGGTTCATTTACTGAATTAAAATTAAGATAATCTGCAACCATGACAGCAGCAGTGACTTTTGCTATCCTAAAATTACAAAGTTGGGAAGTTGTAGAGCTCTTTTGAGTAATGAGCCAAAGATTTGTCTATTCAATAAAAGTCACCATATGAACTCAAAACACATAGTTTTAAAAATAGAGGGAAATACATATTTTTAAATATATCAAAATTTATTAATTTGGTAACAGTCTATATTAAATACTAGTTAAAGTTCATTATTTTGAATAATACATATTTCTAGAGCTCTCTCACTCTCTCTCTCTTCTGTCTGTCTCTCTTTATATCTATACCTATGTATGTGTCCATATATATTTTTATATAAAGAGATAAATAGATATACACATTCACATATAATACTTCCTTCTTGAAGCAGATACATTTATTACATTATTTATATTTACACATGTTGAATGTAAGTTGAAAATAATTGTCACCTTCAGAAGAGATAATTTTAAAAGATACACACAGATTAATGCTAAACTGAAATAAAACATAAATGATTATCCTCACTTATATTATTCTCAATCTTTTATTCTAAGCTTTACAAGAACTTTTAAAAATCACCTGAAAAAAAGAGCTCCTTTGGCTTTTTGTAGTTAATTACTCCTGCTTCCTTAATTTCCATTATAGATTTAAGTAAAATATGAATTGACCTGAAAGTAGGGAACTGAAATTTAAAAAGAGAAAAAGAAAACTAAAAAATTGAATTTTAAATAATCAATATATACTTGATATTATTTATTATCTAGAGGGAAATGATTTAATTTCTCTTTTTCCATCCCTACTTCCCAGGGAAACTTAGGTAATTAGTAAATTACCTAGAAATTTTTCCAAACTTCCTGATTTAACTCTTTTGATTATAATTATATTCACAAATACTACTTTTGGAAACAATAACTATCAAAGCATAAAGCCAGGAGTTGTTACAGAAAAGACTGACATACACTGTTTTTATTTTTTATATTGACCAAATATGTCAGTCGAATGACATATTTTAAAAACATGCACTTCAATAATAGTTCGATTGTCACAATATTTTATTCAGCAGTTACACCCTATCTCCCTTAAATAAACAAAATTTTAAAGCAAAAATGTGATCTAGAAGGTAGATAAGTCAATTAATTATACAGCAGAAAAGACAGGCACTTAAAGACATAGCTAAATGTCTTTTTGGTTGTCACTTAATTCAAATTATCTCTACCTGTACCCCCAAATATCCCCAATTATGCAATGTAAAGCAATTGTGAAATATGATGCACACAAAAATGCATTGAATTGAAGTTAATCACTACTGTCTCATTTTCCTTTTAAAAAATTGAGGTGACTTCCATTTGCAGTTCTGACAGAATAGCTTGTAGCATACCAAAACTCCTTCACGAACTCGAAAGCAAGATTTTTTAAAAAAAGATTTAAACAGTTCAAGAATTTCTGAAGTAGCCAGAACTTGAGTATATAGAGAATGTTTAGTAAGATAAAAGTAACAGTCAGAAAATTGCCCAAGTCAGGCAGAGATGAAGGCTGCAAGCTGATAAAGGCCAGACACCTAGCAGAGATTTTGTCAAATTCATGGGCCTGAAAAACATAAATTAAAAATCAGAGTTCCTAAGGGTAGCAAAACTGGTAGAGATACAATCTCCAAGAAAAGAGAGATTAAGGGAAGAAACTCAGAGAATTTTTCTCTCCAAGTATGTGCCAAATTCTTAAACTGCTCATAGTAAGAAACTAAGAAGGTACACAGAAAGAATCTTTTAAAAATGGCATTTAAAATCACTTCCTGGTATTGAGGAAACAAAAATTGAGGTTCAAGATCTTGCAAATATTAGGGACCTTAGAAGGTACCTGATCATTTACACTGGAAGTCCTGGAGGGTCACAGGAGTGAGGGAAAACACAGGAAGGCCATCCCTGTTGAAAACTTCAAACTAGCCTTTTGTCTGATAACTTTCTGACTCCATATACTTAATCAAGCCTCCTGTCCATCAGAAGATAAGGTGAGTAAACACTGGGTGAAGCCAACACCATCTGGAGCCTCTAAAATTATTCATATGTGTTATCTGGCATTCTTAAAAAGTGGGGAATGGCCAAGATGGCTGACTAGGAGCAGCTTAGGTGCATGGTTCTCATGGAGAGGAAGCAAAAGGGTGAGTAACTACAGCACCTTCAAAAGAAACGTCCAAGTACTCACATTGGTACTAATCAAGGAAACAACTCCACCCATGGAGAACTGAGGAAAGCAAGGCAGGACGATGGCTCACATGGAGCCAGGGAACCTCTCCCACCCAGGGAAGTGGTGAGTGAATGCATGACCCCAGGAAACCATGCTTCTCCCATGGATCTTTGCAAACCTCAGATCAGGAGATCCCCCTCATGAAGGCACTCCACTGGGGCCTTCAGTTTGACACACAAAGCTATGTGGAGTCTCCGCTAAGCAGCTGCTTAGATGCTCACAGAGACCCAGGAACTTCAGATACTCTGGATTTCTGGGCATCCCAGCAAAAGTAACTGCAACTTAAACAAAGCAAGAAGTCAGACCCCTGTGTGTACCCCTAGGAAAGTTGCTAAATTCAGAGAGCTGAGCAGTGACAGTCTGTGGGTTCTACTTCCATGGCACCTCACAGGGTAAGATACCCTGGCTTGGAGTTCCAGCCAGCCATCAGTAGCAGTAGCAGTGTTGCACCTTCCTGGGATGGAGCTCCTTGTGGGAGGGGCAAGCTATCATCTTTGCTGTTTGGGCAATTTAGCCATTCCAGCCTGCGGACTTTGAAAAGCCCAAGTCAACGGAGCAGAAGCAGTACCCCAGCACAGCACAGCTGCTCTACGAAAGTGTGGCCCGGCTGCTTCTTTAAGTAGGTCCCCAATCCCATTCTGCCCTGGGCAAGACCTCCCAAGGGGGGCCTCCAGCCACCACCACCAGTGTTCTCTGGCCTACAGAGGTTGGAGAAGTCCCATGCACAGAGCTCCCAGAGCGACAGGCAGGCCTCCATCTTTGCTGTTTGGATGACTTAGCAGTTCCAACCTTAGGCTCAAAATAAAGGGATGGAGGAAAAATCTACCAAGCAAATGGAAAACAGAAAACAAAAACAAAAACAAAAACAAAAAAAAACAGTGGTTGCAATCCTAGTTTCTGACAAAACAGATTTTAAACCAACAAAAGTTATAAAAGACAAAGAAGGTCATTACATAACGCTAAAGGGTTCAATTCAAGAAGAAGATCTAACTATCCTAAATATATATAAACCCAACACAGGAGTACCCAAATTCATAAGGCAAATTCCTAGAGACCTTCAAACAGACTTAGACTCCCACACAATAATAGTGGGAGACTTTAACACCCCACTGAAAATATTAGATGAATTGAGACAGAAAATTAACAAAGATATTCAGGTCCTGAACTCAGCACTGGATCAAATGAACCTGATAGGTATCTACAGAACTCTCCACCAAAAAAAAAAAAAAAAAACACACAATAGAATATACATTCTTCTCATTGGCACATGGCACTTACTTTAAAATTGATCACATAATTGGAAGTAAAACACTCCTCAGCAAATGCAAAATAACTGAAATCATAACAGTCTCTCAGAACACAGTGTAATTCAATTAGAAATTAAGACTTAGAAATTCACTTAAAACCATACAATTACATGGAAATTGAATGACTCCTGAATGACTTTTGGGTCAATAATGAAATTAAGGCAGAAATCAAGTAGTTCTTTGAAACTAATGAGGATGAAGATACAATATACCAAATATCTGGGACAGAGCTAAGGTAGTGTTAAGAGGGAATTATAGCACTAAAAGCCCATACCAAAAAGTTAGAAAGATTTCAAGTTAACAACCTAACATCACAAGTAAAAGAACTAGAGAACTGAGAGCAAATAAGTGCAAAAGCTAGCAGAAGGCAATAAATGACCAAAATCAGAGCTGAACTGAAGGAGATTGAGACACAAAAATCCATTCAAAAGATCAACTAATCTAGAAGATAGAAAAAAAAAAAAAAAGCTAGGTAGACTACTTGTTTGAATAATAAAGAGGAAAAGAGAGAAGATTAAAATAAATACAATTAGAAATAACAAGAGGGATATTACCACTGACCCCATAGAAACACAAACAACCATCAGAGAATAGTATGAATACTTCTATGCACACAAACTAGAAAATCTAGGAGAAATGGATGAATTCCTAGACACATCCACCCTTCCAAGACTGAGCCAGAAAGAAACTGAATCACTGAACACAACAATAATGTGTTCTGAAATTGAGTCAGTAACAAATAGCCCATCAATCTAAAAAACCCAGGACCAGATGAATTCATAACTGAATTCTACCAGATGTACAAAGAAGAGCTGGTAGCATTCCTACTGAAACTATTCCAAAAAATTGAGGAGAAGAGGCT